TATGTGGGGCTTCCATGACGTAGAGAAGATAGGCCTGGTTAGGACTACGGTACTGCGGAAGACCACTCCAAAAAACCCAGTTGCTCTGAAAGATGAGGACGTCACTTTGACGTACATTCCGCTTGTCCTGTCGGAACCGGCATGGCACAGCACATGTCTTCATGACCTGGTCTCCAAAGTGGAGATTGAGAAAGTCCGTGCCGAATGCGTTCCACACAAGAACTTCGTATGTCTTGGCAGGTTCGTCCTTGATTGAGTTCGGTTCTTCCAGCACTGCAATCTTGGGTGGTACGTGGGACGGCAGTTTGAAGAACTGTTGCAGCAAGAACAATGCCAAGGCTAGACTGATGCACAACTGGCCTATCTTGTAGATGACGTGAAGACACCTAGCCGGTATCATGTCTTTGAGATGTCGGCGCTCTCAACGTAGGGTTCATAAAACGAAACGCAGCAGAAGCGATGAGGTCCCTTAAATTATGAAGCGATGAGGTCTCTGGCGCACCAGCAACAGAAGAGCATCCAATGTTTTAAGTAGCAGCGCAGAAGTAATCCCGGCGTTCATGCACAGGTACCGTATGAAACAATCACGTGCGAAAAAAAAAGCAAAAGTGAACGATTGAAAAAATTAATAAATAAACGTTATCTCTTCATGTAGACATTCCCAGCTGTTTCACTCACGCTCTCTCCAAAGGCTCGAAAAACTTGGGTTGGAGCGTGCTCATCACCGCAAACAGGAGCGAAATGTAGCGTGCCTCCCCACACACCGCGGAAAACAAACAAAAGGACCATCAAATGAAGGGGGGCCCCTAGACGACAAGCTGCAGCCACGCTAATCACGACCGGAAACAAGCACGCTGACGTCACTTCCGGACACTGGTAACGAATAAGCCGGCCCAGAGAGCAGGCGACGTCGCCGTGGCACGATAGGCAGCGGTATGGGGAAGGACTGCTTGCCACATCTCGCCGTAAACGCGCCACTAAATTAAGCCGCGCATCGGCTGCAGCAAGGACCGAAATGACAGTTCTTCAGAGAATACAAGCCAGGCTCGTTTACGGGGCGGGCCTGAATCGTGAAAAATATATAATAGCTGAAAAGCACGACTTGCCGGGACGCCGAAACGAACAGGTGCGCGACACTCTGTGCCCGCACAATTCGTCATCGTCATCATGCATAGAAGCAACCTTTTTACAGAAACGCTCCACGCAGACAATAGCAATCCGGTACACGCGACCGCCACCGCCACAAATATGTCTCTATCGATAGCAATACGGCTCTATTATAGTATGTGCTATAGCCGACGTGAGCGTACCGGCAGTGGTACACTCACTCGATACATCCCCGGAATCAGTCCCTGTGGCTTGACATATATAAAGCACGGCCGTCACACTGGAATGATTTGCGGCGCCGGCGCCTACTAATGTCCTGATTATTTCTGTCGTAATATGCCACCGAAACAATGGGCGGCGTCGCGTTTGACGTAGCAAGCGCTCTAATGCAACGCTGTCCTCGCCCGCGCTCTTCAAAAGCGGCGTTGATGGACGGAAGTTGAATCTTCGATTTGGGTTTGATCAGAATGCAGCAGCGACAGAAAGGAAGATTACGCGAGCGCAGAAATGACTCGTAGGGATTATTTTGATCTTGTGAATAGATACTGTGGAAATCCTTATCCCCTCACTTCAATATGATCGCGATTACGGAATCTTTGCCGCAATAGTCGGGGCCTAGGACCCGACACTATCTCGGCCGCAGTGTGTTTACGGAACCCTATAGATCCAATAAACGAGGTCTGGATCATCGATGGCGTTGCTACTTCTACTCGTTGCAGTGGTCGAACGAACCCGGCGCGGCAACCGCTCTCTTGGTAGTGTGGCAGTGCGGTGGGAGGGTTCTTAGGGTATCGGACCTTTATAAGCTCGGACCTGTCAGCAACCTGATTCCAACACTAGTTAATTGGACACGTGGCGTTGACACCGCGGAAACACGGGGGCCGGGAGCACGCGGTGTGCCGGGACTTCGGCTCGGAGTTTGCGTTAAATTGACCAGCCCTGGTCACGTTAAGCAGGAGTTGCTTTGGCTTATTTACAAGGAGCCAATACTAAACGTGCCTATTATCGGGATAGCTCTCCAAAAGAAGGGTTTATCATAGAGTTATCGCAATTCCTTTATCCTAATACCGTTACTTTAACACAGTTTTCGGCAGCTCTGTGATACCGTTTCCGGAATGCAGCTACTGTAATACCGTTTCCAAGATGCAGCTACTCTAATACCATTGCCCTACTACCGTTATTTTAGATCAGTTACCCTAATACCGTTACTTTAATACCGTTTTCGGCAGCTCTGTGTTACCGTTTCCGGAATGCAGCTACTGTAATACAGTTTCCAAGATGCAGCTACTCTAATACCATTGTCCTACTACCGTTATCCTAGAACAGTTACCCTAATACCGTTACCGTAACATCATTACCGACATACAGTTACCCTAATAGCGTCTCTGTAACATCGTTACTCAAATGCCTTTATCCTCCTGATAGCGCGTTATTCTAATGTCGTTTCCGTAGTACCGTAGCCCTAATAGAGAGTTTTAGGGAACCCTTACGGTAGGATGGGCGCTCCACAACGAACTGCGCATGCGCCGCCGCAGAAGACTCGCAAATGTGCAGTGCGAACCGCAAGCCCCTCGTATACCTTATCGGATGTGCAAAAATGGTTCCCTAACACTTCCTATTCCCACCACCCTACGACCGTTAGCCCCAAAATAGTTACTATAATACCAGGGAGTTTTCGTAGATCGTTTTCAGTGTCCCACAGCACTCTCTGCAACCCGCTGCAATGATTCAAACCTCTGCAGACAAGGCTAGCGGCGCAGGTGTGCAGTAACCGCGTCTTCGTTGCGGGCAGAGTAGCGGAGGTGGAAGAACACTACGAATGCTCCCTATTCTGCTTTCGTAACGGTACCGCTACCCTAATGCCTTTACAATAAACAATGGTGCCGTGTTGCACCGTTGTTTCCTGATGCCGTAGTGGTCCGATGTTCCTACAAACGCTATAAGATATATATAGGTGTGGGTACCGCGCGCGTCGCATCTGCCATCCCCCCCCCTCCCCCGAAACAAAATCCTGGCTACGTCCTGTGCAAGTACCTGGGTATTGTACTCGCCAATAAGCCAGTACCTAGCGGAACATCATCTACACCTTAGAAAATCTGCAGTGCGAAACACCTGCGTTCTTCGCAAGCGTAACTTTTGGAGCTGCAATAGATTTCTTGTTACAAGGGAACTGTGGAAAGTAGCCATGGTACCAGCTTTCACGTTTGCTAACGCTGCTGCGTGTATTCCCGGAGACCTGCGAGACACACTGAAGAGCCGGCAGCGACATTGTATCCCACTGCAGATGAGAAACTTAGCAACTGCAGTAACACAGCTAGCCTGGGGTCTTCAACGTGCACCAGGCAGTAGTGATACACGACCGCACGCCGGAACGATGCTCATCCAGATCGAAACGGGCAGGGGTGGGGATTGAACCCAGGATCGCTGGGTTCTGCACACGAATTCAAGCAAGCGAGACATAACGAAAGACTTATCCGCACCGACATCACAATGGCCGCCCTTGCCGAGCTTGGCTTCAACTAGGTGCCGTGATCGCTCTAGCGGCAGCTCTGGCCCCGAATCATACGACTAACATGCACCCGATCACGTTCACGCAAATAATCATCGACTGGCTGTTATTCCCCTCATCATCGTGGAAGTCATCCTCACCTGTGGGATGCTTCGTGGTCACCGGCGACTCACTGCGGAACGGAACAAAGTTTGCACCGTCACTATCTACGCACGTGGCAGGCTTTCCCGGTGCAGCAGCCCTGCGCAGGATGACGTCATCAGGAGACCCCTGCTTGCCTGGCGAACAGTATTTAAGAAGCATGCCCTCGGCCGCCAGCTCCAGTGGACACGGCAACCCTGCCGTGGCAATCATCGGCTAACACGTTCACGCAGGTTGGTGATGGCGAATACGGGTTCCGTAGTGACTACGTTGCCTTAGTTGTGTTGCCGTGTCCACGGGTGTTAGGCCAGTGTGTTTATGATTGCCTGTCTGTGGCGGGCATGCTACTTAAACTATCCGGCGATGTTGAAGAAACTCCTGGGCCCATAACTGAAAAGATGGTTTCTGAGATGCTCCAGACACAAAAAGAGATCCATAAAAAGGTCAACGAAATTCAGGTAAACAATACACTTCGGAAATCAATATACAGAAGCTGCAAAACCGGCTAGACACGATTGAGGAAAAATTACAAATCGTCGATGAAACCAGGGGCAGGCTTGATCAAATTGAAACCACGCTTACCGGACACGATCACGAAATTACTTCTTCATACAAACAAATCGACGATCTTGAGGATCGATCCCGAAGGAATAATCTGGTAATTAAAGGCATCGGTGAATCAACACCAAAAACAGAAGAAGTCCTTGTGAGAAGCGTAACTCATGAGGTATTTGATGGTATATTGAAAGTTAAGGTTGATTCCATTGAAAGAATTCACAGACTTGGGAGGCACATACCCGGTAGAATTCGGTCTGTTGTTCTGAAATTCGCTGACTTTAGGGATCAAATGAAAATGCTTAACAATTGCTCCAGCCTAAAAAGTACCCAGTCAGCATTAACGAGGATTTCTCAAAAAGAATTGTGGAGATAGGAAAGAACCTGTGGAACTCTACTACAGATGAAAGAAAGGAATGCGCAAAAGCTAGATTGTTTTTTGATAAGGTCAAAATAAACAACGTTCTCTATGCCTGGGACGAGGATAGAGACGAAAGATATCGGTGCTCATCATATCCGAGCACGCAGGATCAGGATCAAGGACGTCACAACAAAGCACGCTTCAAACTAATGAACATAAATGCCCGAAGTATTGTAAATAAAGTTGACCTAATTGAAAGCATTGTTCTTGAACACGAACCCGACGCTATGGGGATTACAGAAACGTGGCTACATTGCAATATTTTAGGCAGTGAAATTACACCACCAAATTATACCATAATTAGGAAAGATAGGGAAGCACGTGGCAGAGGCGTAGCAATTTTGATCAAAAGCGATATTGTATTTACTGTACTGGATGAGGTTAAAGATATCGAAGCTCTATGGGTCCAGATTAGAATGAATGATCGGGTTATAGTCCTGGGCGGTGTATACAAACCTCCCCATTCCTCACTTCACTTTTAGTCAGGTTGCCACAATATATGGACTCTGTAATATGACATAATAAAAACATCTTGCTAGTAGGCGACTTTAATTTACCAGGCATTGACTAGAGTACCTTTTCGATGGGAACAACAGACGGGGTCAGCTGCGAGCAACTACTGGAAAATTCATTTTGTTATAATTTATCTCAAGTTGTCACAGAACAGACAAGAACGACTTCTGCGGCATCATCATACTTGACAT